ATACTTATTGCCCCCCAACTTGGTGCCTGTGTATTGGGGTTCACCCCAGTGAATGAGAGGGTGGCCTCCCTCCGCCTACATGTGGGGGGATGGGTTCTGACTGTCGTTTGTGCTTATGCACCAAACGGCAGTTCAGATTATCCACCCTTTCTGGAGTCCTTGGAGGGGGTACTGGAAAGTGCACCTTCTGGGGACTCCCTTGTTCTGCTGGGGGACTTCAATGCTCATGTGGGCAATGACAGTGAGACCTGGAGGGGTGTGGTTGGGAGGAACGGCCCCCCTGATCTGAACCAGAGTGGTGTTCTGTTGTTGGACTTCTGTGCTCGTCATAGCTGTCAACTGATCACTACCTGGTGGTGAGTTGGCTCCGATGGTGGGGGAGGATGCTGGTCAGACCTGGCAGACCCAAACGTATTGTCAGGGTTTGCTGGGAACGTCTGGCAGAGTCTACTGTGAGACGGAGTTTCAACTCCCACCTCCGGGAGAACTTTGAACATGTTCCGAGGCAGGTGGGGGACATTGAGTCTGAGTGGATCATGTTTCGTGCCTCTATTGTCGAGGCGGCTTACCAGAGCTGCGGCCGCAAGGTTGTAGGTGCCTGTCGCGGTGGCAATCCTCGAACCCGATGGTGGACACCGTCGGTGAGGGATGCTGTCAGGCTGAAGAAGGAGTCCTATCGGGCTTTTTTGGCCTGTGGGACCCCGGAAGCAGCTGATGGGTACCGGCAGTCCAAGCGACATGCAGCTCGGGTGGTTGCTGAGGCAAAAACTCGGGCATGGGAGGAGTTCGGAGAGGCCATGGAGAACGACTTCCGCACGGCTTCGAGACGTTTCTGGTCCGCCATCCGGCGTCTCAGGGGGGGGAAGCGGTACGCCACCAACACTGTTTATAGTGGGAGTGGTGTGCTGCTGACCTCAACTCGGGATGTTGTGGGTCGGTGGGCGGAATACTTTGAAGACCTCCTCAATCCCACAGGGACTCTGGGTCGGGCCCTCCAATTTCTGGAGCTGAGATCACCGAGGTGTTACAAAGCTCCTCGGTGGCAGGGCCCCAGGGGTGGATGAGATTCGCCCAGAGTTCCTTAAGGCTCTGGATGTTGTAGGGTTGTGTTGGCTTACGCGACTTTTCAATATTGCATGGACATCGGGAGAAGTTCCCCTGGATTGGCAGACCGGGGTGGTGGTCCCCCTATTCAAAAAGGGGGACCGTAGAGTGTGTTCCAACTACAGGGGAATCACGCTCTTAAGCCTCCCTGGTAAGGTCTATTCGGGGGTTCTGGAGAGGAGGGTCCATCGGATAGTCGAACCTCGGATTCAGGAGGAACAGTGCGGTTTTTGTCCTGGCCGTGGAACACTGGACCAGCTCTACACTCTCAGCAGGGTCCTGGAGGGTGCGTGGGAGTTTGCCCAACCAGTCTACATGTGCTTTGTGGACTTGGAGAAGGCGTTCGACCGCGTCCCTCGGGGGGCCCTGTGGGAGGTACTCTGGGAGTATGGGGTACCGGGCCCTTTGATACGTGCTGTTAGGTCCCTGTATGACCAGTGTCAGAGCCTGGTCCGCATCGCCGGCAGTAAGTCGGGCTTGTTCCCGGTGAGAGTTGGACTCCACCAAGGTTGCCCGTTGTCACCGATTCTGTTCATAACTTTTATGGACAGAATTTCTAGGCGCAGCCAAGGTGTTGAGGGGATCCGTTTTGGTGGCCTTAGGATTGCGTCTCTGCTTTTTGCAGATGATGTGGTCTTATTGGCTTCATCAGATCGTGATCTACAGCTTTCGCTGGAGCGGTTCGCAGCCAAATGCTCTCGACCTTGACCTCTCTAAGTGTCTTTAAGAATCTGTTGGACACCTGGCAGGGTCCAATGCTGACATGTTCCTATTTTTAGTTTTCTACATTTGTCTTGGAATCTAGCTGTTTTTTGTTTTGTTACCTTTTCCTTTTAGCCATCCTATTTGTTAAAAAAAAAAAAAAAAAAAAAACTGTAGTATGCTTTTTTATAACAGTTTATTGTTGTTGCTGTTGTCCATTGTTGTCATCTTTCTTTGTTGAAATCAGGTCTCTCTTGTAAATGAGTCCTCGAGGCTCAATGGGATTTACCTGTATAAATAAAGGTTGATTGATTGAATGCGATGCGGCCGGGATGAAGATCAGTTCCTCCAAATCCGAGGCCATGGTCTTGAGCCGGAAAAGTGTAGAGTGCCCTCTCCGGGTCAGGGAGGAGGTCCTACCCCAAGTGGAGGAGTTCAAGTATCTTGGGGTCTTGTTCACGAATGAGAGAAAAATGGAGCGTGAGATCGATACGCGGATAGGTGCAGCATCTGCAGTGAAGCGGGCGCTGTACAGGTCTGTCGTGGTGAAGAGAGAGCTGAGTCAAAAGGCGAAGCTCTCAATTTACCGATCGATCTACGTTCCCACCCTCATCTATGGTCACGAGCTTTGGGTTGTGACCGAAAGAATGAGATCTCGGATACAAGCGGCCGAAATGAGTTTTCTCCGCAGGGTGTCTGGGCTCTCCCTTAGAGACAGGGTGAGAAGCTCGATCATCTGGGAGGGACTCGGAGTAGAGCCGCTGCTTCTCCACGTTGAGAGGAGCCAGTTGAGGTGGCTTGGGCATCTGTTTAGGATGCCTTCTGGACGCCTCCCTGGTGAGGTGTTCCGGACACGTCCCACCGGAAGGAGGCC